GTCTGGGCCGGGACCTGGAGCCGCAGTGGGATCCAGTCTGGGGCCGCCCTGTTACCGAGGGGAAAGTGGGTCTCGGGATGTGAGAGCGCCAGTGTTCACTCGGTAGTTTGCAGAAGGGCTGTTGTGGAGATCGGAGGCGCAGCCCAGGGCGGCGGACGGAGTAGGATTACGGCAGCTTCCAACTGGGGCCGCGCGCTCGCAGGGATGCGGCGTGGCTAGGCTGTAACAAGACCGTCCTATTGTGTTTGGTCCGAGGGACTGGGAAGTTCTCAATGTGCTTTGCTAACAGGAGTCGGGTCGTCTGTGGGTCTGATCCTTGTCACTGAGCAGCCGAACCTGTCCCCACCTGCCTGCAGGGAACGAGGCGGCCGCTGAACCCTGCCTCGCCGGAAACGGCCCGTGGGACTGAAGGAGGCTGACGGGGAGTTAAAAATACAAGCTGCCTTGGTGAGGGTTGTGCAGACACCTGCTTGCAGGCTGTCCTCCCACACGGCAACCTTGGGAAAGCCCAGGAGCTGGGCGGCGGGAGCCTCGCTTGTAAGCTGACTCCCAGGACATCAGCTGGCCTTTGTCTCGGGCTCCTGCAGCATTTGGAAACGTGCCAGTAGGGCCTGGTAGGGGATTGAACGTGGCTGAGGACATGGTGGCAGCTTGGCCCTTCTGAGCTGCTTACTGACCGGTCAGCAAGGGGCGTTGGCACTGAGAGTGGTTCCACTGGGCCGCTGCAAGGCCAAGGGCCGTGGTGAGCCCTCGCCAGCTCCGTCTTAGGGAAACAAGGCAGCCTTGGCCCCAGGCCTGGGCAAGGGCAGGAGAGAGCCAACAGGATGGGCTCAGCTGGGGGCGGTGGGCGAGTCTCCCCTCCCTTCTTGGGGAGAGCAGAGGCCCCCCCCGGGGGGGGGTGCAGCGCAGTCAGATGGCTGCCTCTGGAAGCCCACGTCCAACATCAGAGACCGAAAGCAGGCCCGCGTCCACACGGCCCTGCTGGAGCCCAGCGAGAGGGAGCCTGCCATGGCGCACCAGAGGCGGGCCCCGTCCAAGTCGCCGCGGGCCCTGCAGCACCGCCAGGTAACCATCTGGCCTGGCTGCGCGGTGAGTGGCAGGTCTGTGTGGTACACAGCACCGCGGCCGGCCAGCTCGTAGGCGACCGTTACCACAGCTGCTGTTCCAGCAGAGGCCCCGGTCCGGTCCGAGGGGACAGCCCTCCCGGAGCCCGCTGTCCCCGGCCTGCCCTCAGCACCCACAGGCCGGTCAGGTGGAAGCCGTTGTCTCCAGCTCCGAGAAGCGGGTGTGCTGTGCATCCAGCGGGAGTGCTGGTTCCTCACATCTGAGGCCTCTGGTGCCCAGGGGCATGGGGGGAGGACTCCATCCCGGGGCCCTCGGCTTTCCCTCTCAGAAAGGGCCCACACCCCACTCTTGGGGGAAGTCTTCCCTCTGAGCAGCAGCAGTCCAAGCAGCCAGCCACGGGGCCCTGCTGCTCGGAAGGAAGGGGGAGGGGACCGCGTCCCTACAATAATCTCGTAAGCGTCAATCACGGCCCAGGCAACCAAGAAGCTGGTGGCTTGGGTGGAAAACCACAGTCTCGTGGCACAGGTAAAATTCTGGGGGAGCGGCGGCCCCTTCAAAGATCTGCTGAGGATCGTGGTGTCCCAGGAAGATGCCCGTATGTACAGTCTCACGTGTAGTGTGCATTTCTTGGCTCCTGGACTAGGAACCCTTGTAGCAGAGACCTGGGGAAACGACTGAACCGTGGGATGTAAAATGAGGCCATCACGCCAGGTGAGGTGGGGGGGGCGAGGGGAGGGGACGGGAAGGGAAAGGAAGGGAGGGGCATAGCAGGGAGTTATCACTGTACACCTCGCCCGAGCAGGGAAATAATCAGAAACATAAATAATGCAATGATTTTAAATATAACAGAGTAAATACGGACGTAGCAGAAAACAAGTCCTACTACGTTTTAAGATGCAACACCCCGAGGTTTGCCCTCCGTCCCACCCCGTACCCCCAGCAGCTTCTCTGAACCCCTTCTGTCTTTAGGGGAGACCACGGGGGAGAGCTGGAGTAGTGGAGACGTTAAAGAAGGAAGTCGATGATAAATCTAAACGCTGGGAACGGGTGAAGACGCTCCCTCCACAGAGCTGCCCACGGGATGAAGGTAAGGGCCGGGCGGGGGCGCAGGAGGGGGGTGTGGGCCACGGTTAGTGTTTCATGGTTGGGACAGGCTGCTTTATGAAGGGGTCATTCTTGCCCTGTCAGGGTGGTCCCCCCAGGATGTTCAGGTGCAGCTGGGGCCCAGGCGGGGCTCGCTGATGGCATGTGTGCGTCCTGTGCTGAACAGCTGCCCGCCGTGAGGGATGAGGGTTACAGCTATTCTCAGTTTGAGGGAAATTGTGAGTCTAATTTTTTCTCTTTGGAGAGACTTTTGGCTATAGGGCGTATGCACTCGCCACAGAGACAGAAAGTGAGAAATCACCCCCCGGGGGATGGCCACACCACAATCCCTTCTCTTCCATTCTCTGCTAGGCATTTCGGGCACGCCCACACGCACATGTGCCAGTGTTTCAAGCTTCTGGATCTGGGACTTGAACTGCGGTTGACCACATGGGAGTATAGCGTCTTAACCACTACGCCATCTGCTGGCCCCTGGGTCTAATTTATTTTAAATTTGTTTATTCTGAGCTGCTGCAGAGCTAGGAAGGTAGCGTGTACCTTCAAAATGAGCTCATGTCGGACTGCGAGGGCGGGAGCGGGGGGCCTCCCCAGTGGCCCAGCTGCCTCTGTTCAGCAGAGACAGGGCCTGGGGTTGATGAGGTGATAGAGGAGGCCCCCAGGGTCAGCCCACCGCCTGGTGACGAGAGCAGACGAGAGCCCTCAGTTCCTAATGGCAGGCTGGCTTCGCCGATGGAGTCACTTGGTCGAGAGGAAGCAGAGGTCGGCCGGCAGGGCGCCTGCCCAGGAAGGCGGTCTGAGAGAGCAGCCTCTGGGCCCGCCGTGGCCGACCAGCTTGCCATCCGGCTGGACGACACGGCTGCTCCATGTCCCCAGGCCCGAGGACTGCGGTAAGGACGCGTGCTCCCCGATGCCCACACACGGCCCACGAGGCAGCCTCGGGGTCCCACCCTGGGGCCCTCGGCCGTGTCGGTCGGGTGGTTCTCCCTGGGTCGTCTCCCTCCAGAAAGCTGCTGACGGCTGTGCGCCATCGCGACCCTCGTTAGTTATGTCTCCTCATGTCTCTTTACCACGGTTAAAGCCTACCTTCTTTGGGATTGCTGTTTCTTTTCTTAGTTCGCTATAGGCCGTGTGCCAGCGAGAGGGGGAAAGTGAGAAATCACCCCCCAGGGAGGATGGCCACGCCACAAGCCCTTGGGTTTTTGGGTCCAGGACTTGAACTGTGCGGTTGGCCACATGGGATCCAGCCGCCTTAACCGCTCTCCCACCTGGCCGGCCCACGCGGTTACTTTTTAGTTCCGTGTCTCTCCATGAGAGACAGGTGTCCTGGCAGGCCCCTCAGGCTGCGAACACGGCCGGCGTCAGCCTGCATGGTCAGGGAGGGCCCAGAACCCAGACCAGACCCCTCGGTGCAGGTCAGTCTAGTGGAGCCTGTGACCGCTGTGCCACGGTCTGGGCCTGTGACCGTTCCCAAGCTCTCTGAGGTGATGACGTCGCCTGTTCTCTGAGAGTCCCGACTTACTCGCAGCCCCACTGTGGCTTCGTCTGAGTTTTGATACGGGTACTTTCAGTACGATCCTGGCCTGGAGGGTTTATGGTTTATGTTTTGTTTTTATTACCTCTTTACATCCAGTTAGTTCAGGAGTGTTTAGGAAGTCCAGGTCTGTGTCCGTGTTTGCTTTGTTGCTCACGAGGGCTACTGCGTTGGGGTCTGTGGCCCTGGCCTGTGGTAGCATCGAGGTTTCTGTGTGGCCAGTCTTGTGCGGGAAGTTCTGTATGCAGCTATTGGATAGACTGCTGATTTATTAAGTCCTTTCTTTCCATAAGCAACAGCCAGGCACCCTCAAAGGCTAGCATGCTGGGGTACTCCCCGAGCTAGCCGGATCATGGGCACCAACGTGCGGGCCCGGCCTGCACAGGCTGACCTGGACACAGGACCCCGTCTCCAACATAGCTGCCAGCAGGGCAGAGCTCTGAGCTCCTGCTGTGCCGCCATGACCGGGCCAGAGCCTGGTCCTGCCCTGGGCACAGGTACAAGCACGGATGTGGTTTCTCTGTAGTTTACCCTTTTGCTTTGGTACTGTGATGCCCCAGGAGGTGGGTGCTGCTGGTGCTGAGGGCCGGGGTTGCTCTAATGTTGGGAGGGGAGGCTGTTTACGGTGTCTAAGGTGCCCCGCCCATGTTGCATCTTCCCCCTCGTCTACTAGAGGGGTGCCTGCTGCCCTGTGGGGATGAAGAGGAGGGATGTGCTGACTTTGTATCCGGGCTTATAGACACAGCAGTCAGCCAACAGTCGTTAATGAAATAACTGTATAAACACGTCCTATACAGCACGGTTCAAGGGATGCAGAAGTACCGCCATACAGTGCTGGAGGCGCCCGCACAGGCCACCGGGGAGAGCGGTGAGCCAGAGACCAGCGCACGCCAAGGCCCCAGGGAGAGTCCGGAGAGCGGCCTGGGTGAGCTGGGCTCATTCTGGCCTTGGGGGAAGAGCTGCCACCAAGAGAGCGGCGAGTCCAAGTGGGTGGGGTGGGGGGGCCTAAGCAGAGGTCTCGGTGCGTGGAGGAGAAGGCAGTGTTTGAATCAAGTGTGGTACCTGTAGCCACAAGGCCGAGGACAGACAGCCCAAGTGACTGAGGGGCGGGGAATAGCGGAGGGGACATGAAGGCAGGGAGGGCCCAGCTGGTTTCTCTCCCTGGTCCCGATGAGGCAGTCCCCCTACACGTGGTCATGGGGAAAGGCCAGTGCCAGGTCGTAGTTGTGGCCAGCCGCGGTGTCACAGGAAGGACGGCAGATGGGCAGCGGGCTCTGAAAGGCCAACTGGTCTACCGCAAACTCGTAGGCGTGGATCAGCCCCCGGTGCCTACAGGGAGCACAAAGGGTGGCAGGTCAGTTTTGCGTTGTCAGCCCCGATGGCTTCTGTCCCACAGGCCAGTGAGTCACCTGGACAAACAGGCTAGGCCCACAGTGTGTCAGATCAAGTCCCAGCTCAGCACCACGTGGACAAGCTTGAGGGAGCGAATTAAGTGCCGAGGGGGGAGGGCTGAGAATGGCACGGCACTCGTGGGGTGGCAGGCTGGTCCTGGGACCAGGAGGTCACCGCTCGGGGATGATCATCCTCCCTCCCACATATCCCTTCTGCAGATGCATGAGATGCCCCAGGAAGCCCTTTGGGCAGGTGCCTGGAGCATGGGAGGGCCTCATACCTGCCACCTGCCCCTCAGAATGGCAACCCCTGGCCCAGAGGGCACAGTGGCATGCAGGACGCTAAGACGTCTTTTCTGCACCCGTACAAACCCAGCCCGACCTGCCCCCTGACCTCCTGTGTGTGGTGAAGCTGTCCAGGTCGGCGTTCCGCACCACCCGCTCGTACGGCACGTTGGCCGTGATGAGGCTGTGGCTGTTGAAGGAGAGGTGGCGGACGGGGTGTCTGGAACACAACAGTGGAGAGTGCGCGGGTAAGGGAAGGCCCCCGACAGCTGCCAGACTAGGAAGCTCAGAGCTACAAGGGGCTCGAGGTCGCCCTGGCCCAGTTCCTCCTTCAAAGAAGGGAAAGCCCCCCACGGGGCAGTGTCCCCCCTAGACCCCACAGCCTGGTGTGTCAGAAAGAACACCTTGACAGGTTGGCTGGGTGTTCATCACCCAAGCTCGGAGCCAGGGTCCGCTCTGGGGGGCGGGAGTGGACTTAATGCATAAGCTCCTACTCCCATCCAGGCCCAGCGTAGACACACACACTGGGGCAGAAGCACATGGAGCCAATCTTGGAACGAAACAGCTCCAGGGAACAAGCTCCTATTCTTCCTAGAGCTCTGGTGCAGCGGAGCTGGGAGACGGGCGCTGCCTGCAGAGGACGCAGCTGCTGACGAAGGTAAGCTGCTCCCTGCACGTGGGAGACGAGCCACGGCAGCACACACTTGGCGAGGGGAGCAGGGGTCAGAGTGTGGGGGGCAGACTGGGAGAGGCGGGGTCTGCAGAGGGGAAGAGGCTCGGGAGCACAGGCACGAGCTGGAGGTGTGACCTGGCTGACCGTCCCAAGCTCTCTGAGGTGATGACGTCGCCTGTTCTCTGAGAGTCCCGACGTACCCGCAGCCCCACTGGGGCAGGCACCGAGGACCGAGGGAGTGTGGGCAGGACATGAGCCTCACCAAACGCCAGCTGAGAGACGGGCAAACTCAAGAATGGGAGCGAGTCCCGATTCCGGACCAGAGACGGTGGAGAGGGAGGCATCAGCCATGCTGGTGACAACGGACCGTGGAACATGCAGGTACAGAGTGCGCTCTGGGGCAGGACCACACCAGGAGGAAGGCCTTCCTTCCTGGCCGGCCCCTGAATGGCCCTACACACACCAAGGAGTGAGACCTGCAGCGCCCACAGGGGCGGAAAGGCAGGCTCTGGAAACGGGTTTAAAACAAATACTGGTTTTCCTTAAGGCGGAGTTCTGGGAGGAGCGCCTGGGAGTGTTAGCTGTCTTTTGGCACCACCTAGTGGCAACTCAGTGCATTACCACAGAAGGCAGAAAAGGCTTCTGTATTTAGCAAGGGAGGGACAGGACTGGGCAGCGTAGACCATGCAGGGCTCTGATCTAATCAAATCCCCTAGCTCCAGTCCTCACCAGCCTGGTCCACCTTGACTTTCAGGGAACAAATCCATTCCCAGCTGCAGGCCTTGGGTGGTGCCTCCTCTATGGTCAGTCCCCTGGCCTGTAAAGGTCTCTCTACCCAGTACTGTGGGAAACCCTGCCTCCTCAGAACAGGGTCTCCCGGAGAGAGAGCAAGAGACAAAGTGAGGAAGCAAGCCCCCAGGTCTGCTCTAAGCGTAAGGAGCAGGCCCACTGTAAACGTGCGGCCAGCTGGCCCGTCCCCGGAGACTGCCCGGTGGTAAGGCCATCAAGTAGGGCTACCTCTCAGGTATTGGCAGCAGAGGCTGAAAGTGCGAATCCTTCCTTGGCTGGGGCCTCAATCCCTTCAGAGTGAGGGACGTACAAACGGACAGTTGCGGACTGCAGTGGAGGGGTGGGCCTGGGGCAGCACACCCGCCCTGCATGGGGGGCCCTAGCCTGCTCAGGCCCAGCCGGCTCCCTGCAGTGAGTCACTGTCCCTGCTGGGTCAGATGGAGGAACCCTGAAGTACCCAGAACAGCACTTGTAAGGAAGTAGTTCCGTTTTGCAAGGCGCAGGCCCGATTAAAAAATAGCAGGGGTGATGTCTGAGACAGGGAGTCACAGCAGCTTGCTCCTCGGGCCACAGGGAGGGCTCACGCAGCACGGTAGCACATTTACAGCCCCGCTGGTTACACATTTCCAAGTGGGCCTGCTTCTGACAGCGCCGCTGTGACTCAGAGCTTACCTGGAGTGTACTTCCCACAGCTTCTGGTTCATCCGGTAATCCCACACACACACCAGGCCCTCCTCGCCCCCGCTGACGATCTTCCAGTCGTCCATCTGGACAGCAGAGACCCCTAGCTGGTGGGCGGAGAGTGACAGGGCGATCTTGTCCATGCGGAGGTCATGGATCCGCACCCTGGGAGGACACGAGCGGAGAAGGAAGTGGATTTAAAACCTGAAATCACCGTGTCCTCCCCACTTCAGGACAACATTTCTAGGTGAAACCCCTCAGGTGCAAACATCTGTAATACAAACTTTTATCTCCTAACCAGCACGCAGTCGGAGTGCTGCAGAGACGGACCCAGGGCATGGATCGCGGCTGCCCAAGAGCCCATGTAACCTGCTCCGTGGGGGCAGACACCTACGCCGGGAGCAAGTTTGCTTAGCAGGAAGCTGCGGCTAGCCTGGCACTGACTGTACACAGCCGTCTGTCGGGGCCGTCGCTCTGGACCACGCAACGGTCACCCTGCTGATGGGGTAAGAGGTGAATCCACGCCATGGGTCGGCGGCCCCTGTCTTTGCCTGGTTAGGGCGGGCAGTCTTGGGGGATCTAACGCAGCTTTTAAGTTCACCGTCCCCACCGCCATGGAGAAAGCGGAGGCAGCTAGCTTACGGGCTGGGTCGTCGGAAAAGCCATGACGCATTTTTCCAGAGAGAAACACGTCACGATTTTTCTGATGACCCAACAACAATCCTAAAATAATTCCTGGCCTTGTAATAACAACCTAAAGGAACTCTTTAAAAGCGGCTTTTAATCAAGTGTCTACTGAATTTTCAGATGAGGATAAACTGGAAAAGGAGACAGAAATCTCTTAACCACTATGAACACAGCCAAAGTTAGTTCTTGAAATAAGTTATAAGAACTAAAATGGAATGGGGCAAAATTTGTCAGTAAGTTCAGAGCCTGTGAAGAAGGTCACGGCTCCTAAGCACACATCTGTTATTTTGAGTCAAAGTTCCACACCTTGCTCACCTACCAAGCGTGAAGGCAAAATGAAAACTTTTCTCTTTAACAGAAAAGGACCGCAGTGATGACACCTGTGGACCCTCACTGAAGTCACACGGAGACATACGGGGACTGCAAGGCACCGCCACCACAACCCAACAGCGCGGTGCCAATGAGCAGCTCGGGAAGACGACAGCTCTGAGTGTGAGCGCGCGTGGCGGGGTAGGAAGATGCACAGGTGACCGACCACCCTTAGCAAGCAGGGTGTCAAATGGTCACCCGGTAAACCCAGTAAATGCAGCATAGTTGCGGATGACACGGAAGAGAAGACAGGAGAAGAGCACCGGAGGAGGGAGGGCGCTGTATAAATCGCAACGCACTGAACGTCTGCCCCAACTGCCCGGCAGGAGACAGCGCAAAAGGACACGAACCGAGTTCTGTCGTGCAACTGTTTCTTCTGTTAATTTTTTAATGTCCACGTTTGAAAACTGAGATGAATAAATGACTTTCTAGAAAAGACAGAATTACCAAAACTGACCCCCAGGAGATAAAAAATCAAAACAGATGAAATAATCGAGAGCAAACGGGAAAAGCTAAGAAACGAGAATCCCCCGCAAAGGAGGCGGGGGGGGGGAACGTGACAACGAACCCTGTGAGGAACAGCTCCATCCGCGGCTGTGTCAACTGCCCCGACCCTCGGCAGGAGTGTTCTATGTCCACCCTGCCGGGGCACGACGAAGCTGCAGATGGGAGCGAAGATCAGCGACTACAAGCCACAGCGTGTACCTTAAAGCAGAGGAGAAGAAGAAAACCCTGGCTGTTCCTGTGGATGCCGAGAGGAAGAGAAATATGATGCCCATCCCCGGGGATGCACTTTCACCGTGATTACTGGGTCACTAGAAAAGGCATAATATATTTTTCTGTTTTACCATGCAAAAATGATCATGACTTTTCTGACAGCCCCGTATTTCTTTGTTCTTTTGAAATGGTTAGCCACAGGGGGACGCTGCTGGCTTACGTCCAGAGCTACCTGAACACAACAGGTGCGTGAGCCCCCACAATGCTGCCTGCGGAGGGGGAGGGGATCACAGTGCAAGACTTTCAGGGTGTCTGTGCCTCTCCTCGTAAGAGGGAAATGGGGGAGAAGTGGGCAGAATTTGTCATTTCACAATCGAAATATAAAAATTGTTTTGTACAAATGACTAGCTTTTAAAATGTAATCAAGGATCTTATAATAAACCTTAATGAAAGGCAAGATACTTTACAGATTTCTCCAAGTTGAGAAAAAGCGTTAGAGATGACACCCAAATTCTAGAGGTCTCACAGAGTTCAACAGAAACTATAAGATCCTCAGAGGGCTGGCACAGCAGCGCACTGGTCACACACCATGCCCAGGGGCCAGATCCCAGCCCCAGGGCACTGACGAACGCTAGGGGGATCCCAACAGGGCAGAGAAATGGAGGACAGAGACCGCAGTGTGCCTGCATCCCAGTGGGGGCGCTTTTTCTCTGGCAGTTAAATGTCCATAATAGGGTACGTCTTCCTAAATATAAAACCTAGAAACCAAAAAGAAAAAGTACTATTTTTTCCCCTAAAACAGCTTAAAATTTTTCCAGATTAGAGGGGGGGGGGAACTAAAATCAAGGAAAACTATAGACTGGGAAAACAGCTTACAATTTTTCCAAAGTAGAGGAGGGGGGGAAAAACTAAAATCAAGGAAAACTATAGACTGGGAAGAATAAAATTTGCAATAGTTAGGATTAATTTCTTAGAAGAAGTGCCTGCAAATTAATAGTAAATATTGGCAACCCAATTTTAAATTAAGAGAGAAAACTTTCTTCAGAGAGACTTTCGCTACAGGGTGTACGCGCTCCAATTTTTCCAAAGTAGAGGAGGGGGGGAAAAACTAAAATCAAGGAAAACTATAGACTGGGAAGAATAAAATTTGCAATAGTTAGGATTAATTTCTTAGAAGAAGTGCCTGCAAATTAATAGTAAATATTGGCAACCCAATTTTAAATTAAGAGAGAAAACTTTCTTCAGAGAGACTTTCGCTACAGGGTGTACGCGCTCAGTGAGTTTTAAGCTGCCAGGTCTAGGACTCAAACCATGGTAGGCCATGTGGGAGTCCAGTGATGTAACCATTACGCCATCTGCTGGTCCCAGGAAGTTCTTTTTTTAATTCAAAGAAATGCACTAACGGCTTTTACACACAGGTAAGATATTCGAGTTTACTGATCGTAGAGAAAGAGAAAGGACAGGACGCAAGGCCCCTGTTCCCTACCTACTTGAAGAGAACATCCGGCAATGGCCTGTAGGGGGACAGAGAGGGCCTTCTCGCGGGCTGCCGTGAGCACCCATCGCTCTGTAGGGGGTGACTGGGCAATGTGTAACAGTCACAGATCCGTCTCACTTCTGCCCCAGCAACTGTACTCAGAGAACTGCAAGCCGGGCGTGCCCACACGTGTAGACATACAAGCCATTACTGTGTTTAGTGGCAAAAGAAGGGGTTTCAGTTTCAGACAGTTTGACCCTTCCTCCACAAACCACGCCATGCTGGGTAAAATACAACAAACGCCCATTTACGTGCACTGCTGACCTCATAAGGTAAGCCACTTTCCAGGGCCCAAGTTCAAACCCAGCCTAGAGAGCCTGAGCTGCAACTCCAGCCGCCTGTGTGGCAGGCTGGGCAACGGGATGGTGCCGACGCCAGGACCAGTGGGTCCAGATCTTAGCCCTGTCCTGGGCCAGACTGAGAGCCCTGAGCCTGCTTTCAGAGAGAGAAGGCTATCGAGACCCCTGCTTTTAAAAAACGTGAATACTTTTGTGAATAAAAATACAGTCCTGAAATTACATTCCCAGGGACTATTAGAGATTCGTGAAATGGAAGGTAAGTCTGAAGAAATGGCCCCGAGTGGGACACAGAGTGAGAATCAGATGAAAAGTGTGAAAGAGGGAGAAGCAAGAGCCTGAAGGACAGAAGGGGGCGCTCTGCGTATCCAGAAGAAAATGAAACGCGTCGAAGCAGCAGTAACCAACCCGCTCCCAGCTGACGTTCTCCTTAGCTAGCGAAAGACACAGTCCGGCCAGTAAGCACCAGAATGAATAAAATGAAACACAGACCTAGCAGTAATATTTTTTCCTTTTTTTTTTTTTTTTTTTTAATTTTTTGCTATAGGGCATGAGCACTCGCCGGAAAGAGAGAGAGACAGAAAGCGAGAAATCACTTCCCGGGGGGATGGCCACGCCACAATCCCTTCTCCTTCATTTTCCTCTTGGGATCTTGGGCACGCACGCACATGCGCCTGGCATGAGTTTAAACCACTGGGTCCAGGACTCAAACCGTGGTTGGCTACATGGGGGTCCAGTGACATAGCCATTATGCTAACTGCTGGTCCCCAGGAGTAATATTTTTCTAAAAAGGGGATATACAAAATACAGAGATCTTAAAAGTGCTCTGCGGGGACAGCAGTTGGCGTGGTGGTTGGGGCTCTGGACACTCGCATGTGGCCGACTGTGGTTTGAATCCTGGACTTGGCGGCTTGCTTTCTTACTTTCCCTCTCTGTGTTTCTCTCTGGTCAAATTAAAATGAATGAATAAATACAATTAGTTAAAAGTGATCTGCGTAAAAAAGACATTACCTATTAAGGAACGATAATTAGACTGGGAGGGAAAATCAGAACAACATGTGAGCTGCCGTGCATTTTAGCGAGTGTGTGTGGGCGGCAATTCAGCACCCCATCTGTGGGGGGCTGGGCAAGCTGGTCATGGTACAGGCACACGGGGACGCGGCGAGGCCGGCGGCAGCCTCCCGCAGTGAGGACAGTTGCGCAGACGGCCCCTCTGGGTGCTCTGGTAAGTGTGTACCACTGAGGAGGCCACGAGGGAAGAGGGGGGCCCAGGACACGGACTGCCCCCTTTATGTTACACTGCGCTTCTGAATTCAATTTTGAGGGTCTACGCTACCTGTTTAAATAAAACAGACAAAGGTTTTGAGGGCTTGTGTGCTAGCCAGAGAGAGCGGAAGAGGGAGACAGCGTCCCCCGGTGCAGTGCGGTGCGGTGCCACCACAATCCCTTCTGCATGTCTCCGTCCTGTCGCGGATTGGGCACACACTGTGTGTTTTCCAAGCTGACGGGGCCGGGGTTCAGCCAGTGAGAGCCGGGTGCCCTCACCACCAGACCACAGGGCTGGTCCCAAACTGAAAAACGTAAAAGGTAAAACTGTAGAAGAACGTACTCAAAATGTTCAGGGCAGCCCTCCTGGAGAGCAGTGGCAACGCAGAGGAGGGCCACGCGGGGGGCTCTCGCCCTTCATTGCAGGCACTGACTCTTGTCTGAAAACCAGGGACTCGCTGAAGCCAGGGAGGCACGGGCGGCCTTCAGTCACGCTCTGTTTCCTGAGCTGAGTGGAGGACGCGCGGGCCTGTTACTCAGGCTGCACACGGACCTTAATTACACTCCAGTACGCATGGTCTTTCCTAATTTAGAAAATAACGGGTGGCTGGAAAGTCACATTTTGCATAGAAAAACAGAAAAATATGTCATGACTTTTCCTACAGCCCAATATATCTTGGGTCACGCGACGTAAAACAGGATAACATACACGGGGTCTTCAAAAAGTTCTTGGGAATGTTATGAAAAGACTATGCTGGGGCTGACGGGTGGTGTGGTAGTCAGGGTGCTGGGCACCCACGTGGCTGACCGTGGTTGGATTCCTGGACCCGGCGACTTGCTTGCTCTCTGTCTCTCTCTGGTCAAATGAAAAGGTAATAATAACATTAAATAAAATTAATTCTTAAAGCAATTAGACTCTGTCATTTATATTTGAAAAAACTATGCATAGGTTTCAAAACTTTTTGGCACCAAAATAAACTTGCACTTTAATTCCATTTTCCCACACTCTTTGAGGTCCCTGGCATATAGTCTTCTCACAGAAGTGGAGGGTAGAAGATTGGGGAGGATGGGGGGCGAGACGGTGACTGACGACACGACTGCAAACAGCAAAGAGTGACAAGTTTTAGGACTATCAAGTCCAGCGGCGTGAGGGTAGTTAACAACTTCCTGTGTATTTTAGGTCAGCTGAGAGAGGGGACTCTGAATGTCCCCAGCGGAAAGAAATGACAACTGTCTGAGACAATGGGATACAGATTGCCCCATCTATGAATTGTGTTCTTGTACTGCAAACTCACACCATATCCCATAAATACGCGTAACTATTTATCAATACTAAAAAAAGTGTTGAAAATACAGGCACATGGTTCAGAACACAGAGGACAGATGTGTTAGGTCTTGGACAATGAGGAGACGTGGATAAGTAAAGCCGGGTTGCCATGGAATGCCATGCAACACCCCCTTCCCGGACCAGACAGACTCAGACCATGAAATATACCTCGAAGAGAAGGTCTCCCTCTTCCCCTTAGCATTTGCAGACCGTTATCGCTGGGCATTTGCAAGAGAACTAAGCCGTGTGGGCAGAGAAGACAGAAGTATAAACGCCGTCAAATTCTCCCTCCAGGCTCCAACGGGAGCTCGAACAGGGCTGGCGTGGGGAGGCGGGCGTTTTTAGCTCAAGTACTTTTCAATGCCTGTTTGGTTAACGGGTCTATTCTGCTGTGGTGATCTCCATCAAGAGCTCCTCTGTTGAATATTTATACTCCATAATTTACAGTTTGGCTGTTAAGGAGACAAAGGCAAACACAAATTTGGTCCAGAAGTTCAAAGTTTGCCATCTGTTTTCCTATTGTATACCAGCATGGATGGCTCCAAACTAAATAAACAACGCACCCAGACAGGACAGGAGTGTGTTTTATAGCACTAAGGAAAGCAGAGACAGGCCAAGCAGACTTGAGCTTCTCCCCGCAGGAGAAAAGGAAAAGTGTGTGTCTGACAGCTCCGTGGAGCGGCATCGGTCTGGCTGCGCGCTGACAGACGCACAGCAAGCCGCACGGTGTGCTAAGTCCTCACAGTCTCCAATCCGCATTAAAAAAAAGGTGTGTGCCGTGAACACCGGACAGTGTGCTGCCCCCACGTGAAAGGCGGCGCACCTTGGCAAAGCCCGTCACCTCAGCGCGCAAATCAAACAGGCGGTGCAGGGAAACAGGTAACCCAGCAAATGGCCACGGAAACATGCCAAGACCACTGATTCCAGGGACAAGCGGCAGCCAGTGGTAGAGACTGTGCATCCCTATCTAGCGAGCATTCATCAACTTTGCCCACTGAAAAGAAAAATAATTGGTCCGCAAGCTGTAATTGTATTATGTTTAATATTCATGGTTGGGCTTCGAGGTCTGTTCCAACACTCCTTCTCTCCAGCCTCTCTCTAATGAAAATCACACCATAGGAGTCGGCCCTAGCCCGCCAATTAAAACAAAAGACACCAGAACCTTCCAAAGACTCCAGCAGAGGAGCATCCATCTGATGGGCAGGAAAACGTGCTGGAACTGAGAGGGAGGCACGCTCTGGTTGGTCCTGTGTTAAGAGCTTGGAATAACTTATTCTAACACTTGCAGATGGAGCAAATGCAACATTTACGCCCCACTCGCTCGCTCCAACAGCAGGCAGCAGAGCCACACGCTCGCCACCACT